GCGCAAATAAAAATTTAAGATATATTGCTTGATCGTTTCGAGAACGCGATTCTAACAGTATAACTTTTACAACGTTTCAACCAAACAAGATTACACAAGCTAGAACTCAAAAAAACAGATAAGAACACAAAGGTCGTCTCAGAAAATTGCAGATCCGAAAAATCGCAGATGGATTCAATATGTTTCATGCCTCGGCTCTGATACCAAATGTTAGTCCCAAAATCAATCAACAATCATACAATAATATAGAAGCAGAGAATCACAGAATGATAGAGATATGTTGATCGTTGAAACTCTCTTCTATATACCGTATAAGCTCTTAGAATAATATGAGCGTGAATGTGCGTAGAGGCTTATGTAAGAGTTAAGGTTTGCTTAAGTTAGACTCCTTTTATACATAAGGATGTCTAACTTAAGACTTACAAGTGGGCTAACGGGCTGAAATACATTTGTGGCCCATATTACACATTTAATTAATAACTACACAAATACAAAGATATTTAATTAGATTGGACACCATAAAATATTCTCAACAACAAGTATACAAAAGTGGTGCATGTAATGAAATATTTTCATAAAAGTATATGTGGAAATTTAATAGATAATTATGAAGTACCGTTTTTATGTTTATTTGCAACGTTTTTTGATCGATTATATTACGGCTATTAAAAATGCACCTGATGAATTATAAACCCTGAGAGAGAAGTGAGAGCTAGAGAGAGAAGTGGTTTGTATTAATGATTTTCGAACCCTTACAACTACTCCCAAGGGGAGTACTTATATGGAAAATATGGGTTGGCCTCCCAAGTCTTGGGCTTGGGAGGCTCATTACAATACGAGGCCTCTACTGGGCTGATTACATTCGAATATACGAGCTAGGTGTGGAAATCTGGCTCTGCGAGCTCCATGTGGGCGACAGACGTCTGGCTGACGAAGTCCTTGGAGACGTATGTCTGGCTGACTGAGGTGGTGGCAGACGAAGTCCTTGGAGACGTACGTCTGGCTGACTGAGGTGGTGGCAGACGAAGTCCCTTGGAGATGTACGTCTGTCTGACTGACAGGGCCGGCCCTGATGGTGTGCAAAGTGTCCAACCGCACAGGGCCCGAAAAATTGGAAGGGCTCAATTTTTTTTGTGGTAGTATACAACTACCTCCGTCCCGCTATGATTGTCTCATTTTACCTTATCGGTCTGTCCCATAAGATTATCTCATACTAAATTTGGTAAAATTTGTGTGGCTCTAAATCATTTTTACTTTATTCTTACTTTATCAATTCAATATCAACCACATGAACCAGTTTTTATTAATTTGTGTGTCACCCCCTCTTGTCCCAATGTTAGCGGGACGGAGGGAGTAGTATTACTTAGGTGGACTAGGACAAGACTTTGAAGCAGACCTGGTTCGTCACTTCGCGTAATCCTCATCTGCAAAGGAGGAGTGAGCGAGGCATGCACGATTTGAACCCAGGTGAAAATAAAACTTTGCACGCTGATTTCTAAACATCAACCACCGGACCAAATCAACTAATTGTTGAAATACGGACGTACAAGTTTTATATTACCTATTTGTTCTAAAAAATAAATAATTAAAATACCTCTTAATAAAAATTGGTTCAGTTCGGTTTGAACCGATTTTATAACTCAAAAAACCTTCATTAAACCGATTTATGTTCGAGTCCCGACTTTCAGGTCCCGTTTGAGTCGGTGCGGTTTCGGTTCGATTTTTTTAACTTGTGTTGAAACTTTGAAAAGAAGGCCCAATTATTTTTTCTGCACAGGGCCTTCATTTCCTCAGGACCGGCCCTGCTGACTGAGGTGGTGGTCGTACGTCCCCGGGGTGACTGTTACATGCCGGAGGCCATACGTCCCCGGGTGACTGCTACGTGCTGGAGGCCATACGTCCCCGGGGTCTTGCCATGTGCTGGAGGCCGTACGTCCCCAGAGTCTTGCCATGTGCTGGAGGCCGTACGTCCCCGGAGTCTTGCCATGTGCTGGAGGCCGTACGTCCCCGGAGTCTTGCCATGTGTTGGAGGCCGTACGTCTCCGGGGGTCTTGACACGTCCTGAGGGACGAACGTCCTCGGGGCCTTAGTCCTGTTCGTAGTAGTGGAAGTATGTGAGTCATGGGGTCTGTGGCCATATACTCCATCAGGACCGATCATAGTTCGGATTATTAAAAATAAGTACCCTTTTTAATTAAGAAAAATCGGTAACCAGTCACAAGGGACTATTATTAAAAGATGACCCCTATAGTTAGAACACACAAGAATAATCGATAATATTAATGATATTAGTTTCAATTTTTCCTTTTCAAATATTTGGGGGAAACTAGTAAATGCAGTGATTTTAACATCAAGAAAGTTTATTTATTAATTTGGGGGTCTTAGGAACACTTGGGTAGTTGGCCAATATGACCAGAAGTGGTCATAATGTTGTATGGCTCGTTCATTTATCGTTAAAAGAAAGATGTTTTTGAATTTTTGTGTAAATAACAAACAAAGTATAATGCTTTTGCCCCTTGCTAAACAATAAATATAATCAATTAGTTCGATGTCATCATTGTGATTTGTGACATTCTAAAGAAGGAGGTCACGTGATCGAAACACATTCTAGTTCAAGAGCAGGAATGTTAGAGGTGATTGGTTAATGGTTTTTTCACTTGATTCTTTGCCCTAAACAACTAAAATTAAAATGCCAATAAACTGTTGGGAATATGAGTGAAAAATACTTTTATTACTTTCAATAATAGATAGAAGAGACATACAAGTTCTAACTAAATATTCTCAAAAATACCTCACATATTTCTCAAGGATATTCACAACTTTTCTTGGTTGTGTTATGATGATTTTGATAAGAGCAGAAAAATAACAATCAATTGTAGCAACCGTTGCCCAAGCTTAAAACTCAAACACCAACTTTTTTCAATAATAATGGATGGTTCAGATAACCCTATTAAGGGATATAAATAGACCGTTAGTTCTAATTAAGGTAGAACTCTTAATTAATTCATACTAGGAAACAAAATTAAAATAGGAAACGTAATAAAAGGAAATAACTAGGGAATTAATTAATTAATTAAAGCCAACTTAAATCGCCGGGCCACGGAGGTGGGCTCAAGCCCGTCCCCGCCTACGGTAGATCAACAAGGGCCTTGGGCCCGACGCTTCCTTGATCACCCCGTCTGCTCCCTGTCAACTTCATCCTCCTTTGAAAGAACGTAACCTTGTCTCGAGGTTGAAATCTGGAAAGTGACCCACAAAACTTGCTCTATCAGATTTATGATGTAATGATAAAAAGCAATACAAGTTTCTCTGTTTATAGTACCAAAACTATGTAGTAGGAAGGTGGGAGGGAAGTGAGTTAAGCTTGAAGGAAGCTTTAACGGTGGTTAATAAACTTCTCTTTTCATTCTTGGATATGAAAGAAGCTTCATAGATGCTAGGAATTGAATTCTCCGATGTTTAAGCTTTGGCTTTTGAGCTTTTCATTTTTCACTATTCTCGTTATGTTCCTATTTCACCAAGATGTCTCTCTCTTCCCATAAGCTGCCTTAGGGATTTCTCTTCGTATTCGTCTCACTCCTACTCAGCTAAACACCTTCTGTCGAAGAATAAAATTATAAAAACTATCAGTTGGAGCAACACAGGGCTTAGAATTCCTTCATCGTTGTGAAAATTCTTGTTTGGGTGGATGACACTTTGGGAGATAAATGACTGCAACTGTTTTAATGCAACGTTTATACGATCTAATTTCTCATTCTTCAAAAATTTTATACAAAGTATTTGATGTGTGAACTTTAAACGAAGTTACATTTATGTTCATTAAGTTTATGTTTAGATGCCCACTTCAGCTCAAAATGAGCTATAATTTACTCCGTAATAAATCTAGACCATTAATTGACATGTAACCTTATTCAGATTAAGACTAATCTTGAATGGATTTAAGATTAATTAACAGATTTGAAGTATTACTAATTGTAGCATTTCGGTTCACTATATGAAGGAATAATATGCTCCATATTGTAATTGTGAAGAAGCGACTATTGTATTTGTCAACACATAACACATAGGCCTCTATAACTCGATGATAAATCGAAAATTATCTTTGTTTTGGAAATAAGTTAAAAGGCCCATAACTTAGGAGATGAGATTTAAAACAACCCTACTTTGGAAAAAGCTTTATAATATATAGTAGAACACTTAGTAGATCAACTATGTAGTTCTAGAACACGCGACACAACCCTCAAGTAGACCAGCACTGGTACAGTTTACCTCGAAATTGTTTTTAATTGCATGCACGATTCACATAGATAAAGAGTTTTTTCCACTTTTGATCCCCCGACTATTGTGTCAGTGACACTTTTGATTCCCGACTTTTAATTTTTCTATTTTTAATCATCGACTATTGTGCAAGACACACTTTTAGTCCTTGACTTCAAAGTTTCCCACATTAGCCCCTTGAACATTATCAAATTGACACTTTTAGTCCTTTCACTATAATTTGGACACAATTTGTGGACTAAAAATGTAACTACTATAATATTTGAAGGACAAAAAATGTCACTTCTATAAAAGTCAAAGGATCAAATATGGAAAATTTTAAGGAAAAATATCAAAAATCTCTTTTTCACATTAGTTAAAGGACTAAAAGCGGAAAAAATCAAAATCAAGTACCAAAAATATCAGTGGTAAAAATCGTATAACTAAAAGTGGCAAAAGCTACATCCATAAATATCTCCACATTTCGTATATAAAGAAATATACAAAGCATCTTCATTATTTTGGCATTCAAATAGAAAGTAAACAATTCATATATGATATATCCACTAGTTTGTACCTAATTTGTGCTTAAATTTTGAGTGTCGTCAAAAAATTTCCTAGGTAGATTTTCTTGTAATCGAGGCCTAGGAAAATGCAATTACGCCATCTTTAAGCAAATGTGTACAAAAAATACCAGTTAAAATATGTGAAATTAAATGATTTAAGTTATTTAGCCCAAAGTATTTCATCCGGTCCAATGAGAAAATCACATGCCCGAGATCTGGCATAACCTAATCCTACTACCGCTGCACCAATTCATCCGATCTCAGCCAGACGGTCGTACGCTATATTGCTCTCTCCATTTCCATCTCCTCTTCCTCTTCCCCTTGGGTCGGACGCAGTCTACACCGCCGCGCCGTTCTTCTAAGCTGAGGTTAATCGATTATTGCTAACTGTCTTCTTCTTTTTTCGCATCTTGTTTTCTTTGTTCTTACATATCTTTTTATATCTTATCAGCTGTGAATAGATCAATCAAGCTTAGAGGGTGTCGTTGAGGTTCGTTCTTTGTCTGTTCTTTCATTTAAACGATGAATAATTTTATAACTTAAGGAGTTGTAATAAGCTACTATAATTTACTGACCGACCAATACGCTGGCAGTGTTGCCTTCGTACCTGAGGTAAGCCAAAATTATGCAGATTGACTGTGAGCACGCGGCACATCATCCACTGATGACATCATGATGATGTCATAGTGGAGTCATCATTATCAGGCGGGAACAGCTATCCCAGGCGGTCCAGCTTTTATATAGTATATTCTTCATAGTATTGGCTGGAATACTGGCACAGCAAACTGCACATATATATTCTTCACTGTGATTAATTGAAACTATGGCTCTCATGTCATCTACATAGCTTGGAATAAGATTCCTCTGAACATTGTGGTGGTTATAACTTTTCCTGCAGGAAGCTTTTGATTGTAAAATCAAGTCCTGCCAACAAATTTCACATTGTTTGGTCTCAAAGTGGGAAAGTCTATTTAGCTTTGCTACTTGATTTTACTAGAGGTTTGAGTAATATATAAGCTATGGCAGAGATTCGGACTTCTGGGAAATCAATTGATCAGTTGTTGGAAAAGGTTCTGTGTATGAACATTCTTTCTTCCGATTATTTTAGAGATCTTTTGCGGTTGAAGACATATCATGAAGTGATTGATGAGATTTACAATCAAGTTGATCATGTGGAGCCATGGATGACTGGAAACTGCCGTGGTCCTTCAACAGCGTTCTGCCTTCTTTACAAGTTTTTTACAATGAAACTTACTGTCAAACAAATGCATGGCCTTCTAAAGCACATGGATTCACCGTATATCAGAGCTGTGAGTAGTTTCTTCTCTCAAGCCATCCACAGATAGGCAATTTCAGTTATCATTTCTTTCACATGTCATTATATTTTATCATATATTGCATGAAGAAGTATCACAGTCTTTATTTTAAGCACAAATGAAGAAAGAGTTTTCATGGTCTACAATTGTGTTATACATTTCTTCTTATCATGTAGCATTATAATTTTATAGTGGAACTGAGTTTCATTTAAAGGGAAGAGTTTATCTTTGCAATATCAATAAGGTTGGCATATAAAGAGGTTCCTCTCTTTCAGCATGATTATTTTTGTGAAGCTATGTAAAATATCTCATTTAAGAATTTTTCCTTCTCCAGGTGGGATTCTTATACCTGAGATATCATGCAGATCCTAAGACATTATGGAGTTGGTATGAGCCATATCTTAAAGATGATGAGGTGTGAATAATGTTTTACACTTCTACCTTCCTTTTTTGCCATTTGTTATTTTCCAACCAGCTCATTTATGAGGCATATCATTTTGTTCTTTTAAATGACTTAAACTGGAAAAGTGTAATGCACAAGTGATTGATTAACATTTTAGTTTTGCTTCAATCAGTTGTAACTTGCAAAATTTTGGGAGTTGCCGAGTCTGAGGGTTTCTTGGTTTTTTATGCCTGACTGTATTTTATTGGTTTCAGCTTTTCTTATTATAGTACCAATTGTATATACTGCTTAATTTAATTAATTAACTATTCATATTTATTAGTACCCTTGTCCCACAATAAAATTAACTATTCCTGTCAACTTGATTCCCTTCTAATCTCATTTATATGTTACTAGTAATTTTATTTTATATTCAAATTCAGTGTTTGTAGTTCAATTGAGGATAGTTAACTTTATCATCAATCAAATTTCGGAAACCAAAACAAGATCTTGATTCTAGGACATCAGAAACCAAAATTGGAACTTGATTATAGGACAGAGGGAGTTCTTTTTCCTGCTGTGTTGATTTTATGTTTGGATTTTTGAACGTAATTTGTCGTGGTGCCTATTCTTCATTTTAAGCACTGCACTACCGGAGCTCGTATTGTGATTTTTACATACCATGAAGCCTTTGGTATCCATAAAGCTTTTACCTTATGTACTTACCCTGCTTTTTGCAGGAGTTCTCTCCTGGATCTAGTGGTAAAATGACTACTATGGGTGTATATGTGCGCGACTTGCTCTTGGGACAGGTCAGGTGCCAAACCATTTATCTCATAATTACTTAATAATCATTGCTTCTCTTCCACCCTACTGCTTCAAGTTTCAGACACTCATATGATTTGCACACTGAATTGTTCATTGTTTCAGTTGAGGCAAGTTTATGCTCTCTTTCTATGTATACTTTACTGGCACATCTAAGTTGAATCCTTCTCAATTGGATCTGTTACTTCTGTAAACTATTTGCGAGTATAAGTTTATTATTTTAAAGGTCGTGTGGAAAGTTTGTGCTCCGCATGGCATTATTCACTCATTTACATAGGCAGATTTCTTATGTTTCTTTTTACTCCCTCCGTCCCATTCAAAGGTTCCTGTCCACTATTCACATGGTCAACTTAAATCATTCTTAATCTTTTGCTTTATATATCAAATTTTTGTCAAATTTACATTTTCTTTATCAGGCTTTGTAGCAGTTTTAATGTAGTTTCTGAATATGTAAATTTTATTTACTAAAAATAATCAGAGTGTGAGCAGGGATTAAGTTGCTTTATCGTCAGTCAAGTATCGTAAACCGTAATTGGAACCTCCTCATGGGACTGAGGGAGTAATATATAGTGGGAAGAATGCACAAGTCATGCGAGAGGTGAGTCAACCTATTAGGTTATTAAGAATGCCCATTACAACTAAATATCAACTAACCTCAATAGATGCTAATCATGCAATTGGCTCATACCAAGATCATGAGATGTACTGTTATCAATTAAGGTGTTTTTCTCCAATCCTGGGGAGTGGGGAATAGCGAAAGTCTCACCTTTTGCCTTATCCTTACCTAAAACACACTGATTTTGTTAATCATGGGAACCATGTCTTTCTTTCACTTGTTCAACTTTATTGATCATGTGCAAATATGGTTCCCATGATTATGATTTTTCAATGAAGGCACACTTTTCCCATATAATAAATTCTTGACTTTTTATCCTGAACCTTGATTTTACTGAAGATATTAACTTTCTCTACACAGAAAGCTTCCGTGTAATTTTTTCATTTTTTTGAACTATCAAGTTGACAAGGAAATGAGGAAACAGCATGTGGCATACTTAATTGGGTACTAGCAGCACTGGCCTGTCAGCCTGCAGTTTGATCAGTAAAACTTATTTTGCCTCTTTACTGTTTGCTATGCACTTGTTTGGTTTGGAGGTGGGGGGTTCAGAGGGAAGGAAAGAGGAGGGATGAAATGATTGTATAGTTTCTTAATTTATTCTCACATTTGTTTGGTTGGTAATAAAGTGAAGACGAATAAGTATATACAAATACGTGATTTTACCATAATATATAGTTCTTTTCTAGTCTTTATTGATGAATAGAGATATGAATAGAGTTATGTTGGTAAAAAAGCCTCTCTACCTAATCACCTAACCAAACAAGACATACAATTTTCCACTCCATTTTTTATATATCTGGATATTTAAACTCACTTTGAGTATTTTACAGTGTTCTGTTTGTGGCAAAAGCCAACTGCTCTGTATATATCTTCTCCTTGATGGGAAGTGAACTTTTATGTTTTACTTGATTGCAGTACTACTTTGATACACTTTTGCCCCGCATCCCGGTCCCCATAATGCGCACAATGGTATCAAATCTTGAGAAAATGAAGTTTCCTACGAAACCTTCTGGTTCAACCGGGGATTCAAGCCGTGGATCAGAAGAAACAGCTCGTCGGCCACCTTCGGTCAAAGCCTCCCTCTCTGTCTCGTTTGGTCAGCGCGCACCTCACCGTGCGTCAACCCGTGATTCATCACCCATCCGTCGTACACTGACATCAGCATCGTCATCTACCTATGATGATGCTAGACGGTCCCCTGCTAACCATCGTAGTCAAAGCCGCGATAGAGACGGGGACCACAGGACGCATGATAGAGATTCAGATAGGGGTAGGGATCGGGATAGAGAGAGGAGGAATGATTATGATAGGGAGAGGGAGAGAGGTAGAAGGCATGATGATTATGATAGGGATAGGGAGAGGGAGAGGGAGAGGAGAAGTAGAAGGGATAGGGAGAGGAGTAGAAGCAGGAGTAGGAGTAGGAGTCATGGTGGCAGTCATGCTGATCATCGGCGAAGCCCGGCAGCAAAGGATGAAGTAAACAGAGATAAGGCTTCTGGGGTCTCCAGCAATCTGGCAAAGCTTAAAGACATCTATGGCGACTTGAGTACCAGCCAAAAGGATGACGGAAACTATGATAGGGGGGCTTCTAGGAGGGACACCAGTACGGAGGAGGTTATCCGACTTGGTGGTTCTACTTGGAGATAGAAACGGAAAACACCCTTACTATGTGAAATGTAAGAGATGTGATGAGATCTGCATCTGCTTTGTACTCTCAATTGGCAACGGTAGCATGATGTACTCCGTAATAGACAAATTAGCTTGTGTTATTCTGTTGGATATTTGTAGTTCACCAGATGTGACACATTTCTCTAATTTTCAGAATTTCATTGATACAACTGAGTTGATATTGTCAAATACGTACTACTCCCTCCGTGTTCTTTATTAACGGTCTCGCATTCCTTTTTTAGACGTTTTTAATTATTTGTCTCTCTTGCTATTTTAGGAAAGTTTTTGATAAAATACCTCCACTTTTATTATTGTTACCCCTCTTATTTTTTACAAACTAATTTCTCTTTCTTTATCATTAAGTTTACTCTAGTTTAGGGATGGACTAAACTGGCCTGACCCGCTATTGTGCGGGCCTGGACCGGACCGGTTGGCCGGTTCCGGGCTTTTAGCCCGTTTGGGCGGGTTGGGCGGGTTGGGCGGGCCAGGCTCGGGCCCAGTTTTGGGCGAACCGGCCCGGGTCATTATTTTTTTCAATTTTTTCTTTTCCTAGGGTAGGGTTGAGTGTTTTGGCGAGGTTTAGGGGTGGGGGTTGAAGGGGGGGGTCAGGGGATAACAAGAAAGCAAAAAAAAATTAGACATTGAACCGGACCTGGTATCAACCTGGGCTGGTTCCGGACTTCCGGGCTCAAGGATTTGCAAAAAAAGCCCACCCGGCCCCGGCCCGGGTCCATCACTACTCTACTTAATATACTCTCTTTTCTACTTTATCATTACTTTACTCTTTTTAATATATTCTCTTTCCTACTTTATCATTTACCCTACACACTCTACATTTACTCTACTATTTTTCTATTAAAACTCGTGCCCAAGACTAGCGCCTAGCGGGACAGATAATAAAGAACGGAGGGAGTATTTGATAAATTTCTTTAATATTATAACCATTCCCTACTTTAATTGTTTAGTTAATGTTCTCAACACTTGCAATTTCTGTGGTCAATTTAACTTGTAGCAAATCAGAATTTCTGATCCCATAAAAGTCGTTTAGCTTTAAATGTGTAAATTGTAAATTTGTAATTATCAATACCAATTTATACGGAATTAGGAGAGATTCAGAGAAGCGACCGAACATTATAATCTAAACGTGAATTCATTTAGGGATGAGCACTATTATACTTCCTCTATCCCATTTTGGTTGTCTTACTTTCTTTTTCGAGTTATTCCAAAATATTCTCTCCATCCCGAATTGAATTGCAAACTTTGACTGACACAAGGATTAAAGAGTGACAATAAATGATGCTTTGTTTCTTTTTACACTTTTGCCCATATTCTCAAAAGTAGATGTCTTTAAGTTAATGAAAAAAAGTAAAAGTAAGGGTAAATTCGTCACTTTATTCTTATTTACATACATAAAATAGAAAGTAGAAAATCATTTTGGGACAACCAAAATAGGAAATTTTGCAAATAAAATTGGGATGGAGGGAATAGATGTTTTTTTATGTAGCAAAAAATGTGGTCTTTATCATTTTATTTTATTATTTTCAAATCACAACCACGTCATTTACTTTAAAACCATTTCATTAATAATCGTGCCAAATAAAAGAATAAGCATGATTTGGGACAAAAGTAGTACTTGTCTAATTTTACCAAGTCAAGGCCCTCCCGCACGAGCGACGAGGTACCTCACCCGAACTGCTCGTATGTTGTTGACTGTCGGGTATGTCCGTAAAGGTAAGAATGTTTATATTTGGACTGTATTTTTTAGTATGGTTTATTTAAGTATGATCTAGTGGTGTCTGAACTAGTTCAGTCAGATATATGTCTATTTTATGTGTATTTTACAAATGGAGAATTCTGGTTAATTTGTTTAATTCTAATTTGATTTGTGATTGAAATCAACTCAATTAGAAATACCCTATATATGTAAGAGGTGCTATCATTTATTTGATCTTTTATGGTGTTTTACCTGAACGCTTCGGTTAAAACCAAAAATTAAGTAGACCTTAGACAGTTACTCATTGACCCAACTGGGACACCAATGACCAGTTCAGCTATCTCTGGAGCCTGGCAAAATTCCAAATGTCAATGAAGCATAGCATTTTGTATCTGGACAGTACACTATTAGTTTGCATAATTTCCATAATATCAAATATCACATGATTTCCCTTTAAAAAATCAATCCCATCCCTTTGATAAAAAAATATATAATGTTGAATGGTTGCGATTCAATTTTGTTTCAGGGGGGCTTTTTTCTCACTTCGTCATGTGTATTACTTTATTTAAAACTAGACATAGTTGGGTGAGCCAAGTTTAGGGCTGTTAACGAGCCGAACCCGAACACCCAAAGCTCGAGTTCGACTCGATAAGGAATTAGTGGTGTTCGGGTTCGAGCTCGAAGCTCAACGAGCTTTACAAATTAGGCTCATGTTTGGATCAATAGGCATTCGATGTTCGAAACGTGCGCTCGATAAGCTCGATAAATACGCTCGAATTAAAAAAAATAGGTGATGCCCATTAATAGGCTTGTGCTCAAATGAATCGACAAGTATTCGATTCATTAATAATCATATTTAAATTCAAAAAATCATACTAATTATATTTAAATTTTGAAATATATATAAACTATATTTATAATTTCAGGTGTTCGATATGCTCAAGTTTGAACCGAGCCAAATATTACTATGTTCGAGCTCGGCTCGATTAAGTTTTCGAACTTAAAACTCAGCTCGGGTTCGGGTTCGAGTTCGAGAGTTCGTTAAGCTCGGCTCGTTAGGTTCGAAACCGAGCTCGAACTCAAATAGTTCGATAAAAGCTCGGTTCGGTAACAGCCCACCCTTCCCAACGTAAAAGAGGTTAATAAAACTGTGAAAAGAGGTTTGAGATCACCAGAGCCAAAAAGAATCCGGACTGGGACCTGCTCTAGGTCCAAATGGAGGCTTCTTTACCCGTAATGAGAACCACGTACAAGCAGTCTGGGTGCAGTTTACCCTAACAGTTCTGGTCAGATTTGGATCTATCTATGGACTAGTTTTCAGGCTATTTAAAGGAAAACTGGTTGCCAATACTAGCTTCATTACGGAATCGGCAAACCGGTCTAGCTTACAGGCACCTGGCAGGTCCCAATCTGAGTCTTGAACAAGAGTTTGTACCTCAGCACAAACGAACACAACACGAACCAGAAAACAAAACAACCTGAATATCATAACTAGCAAACGTCAATAAGCTACAAGAAGAAACAATTATATTATGCTGGGTGTAACCGTGTAACTGGCAAAATCAGAAAAAGGTTTTTGGCCATAGCTCAAGACAATACAAAGTTCTTCTCAAGTAATTTAGAAAAAAACTACGTTCTCAATGGTATCTCCTAAACCTCCGGAGTTCCCAGCAGATCTGTAAAGCATAACAGGGGTAGGGCAAGGAGAAGACCAGTGACCATCCAAATTTCCATTAGAAAGCTTAGTTATTATTACTCGCACTTTATGGAGCGGTAAATATGGCGGACAAAAAAGAGGGAAGCACGGAAACCAACAGTCCCAAGCATGAGGAAGAAGCCATAACAGATGCAAGCCATGTACCCAAAGAAGAATGACGTTTGCATGAAGCCAGACATGTCCGAACGTGCATAATAGTAATATAAGCAGTAGCCATAGATGAATAACCCAGTTGATCCACCGCAAACGAATGATCTAATCCATACAAAGCCAACATAATCATGCAAATAGTTAGAACCCATCTAAATAAATGCCTAATGATTTTGAGTGCAGTAGATCAGTAAAATGGATGATGGCTGCAGCCCGTGAGAATTAGTGCTGGTTTCATAACTTCAATTTTCTGCTTATTACAAATTTTTTTGGAACAGGAACAAATATACCCTCAACTATGTCAGAACACATAGATACCCTTCAAGTTATTTTTGGAACAATTACATATAAAATGGTGAAGCCCGGACAAGTATACTATTGAACTATATACTACGTATGAGAGAACACACCCCACAACTATGTGACATAAGGGCATATTTGTTCAAGCTTAACAATTCTTGTGTATACACGTTGTCTAACATATGGTTCAGGGGCATATATGTTTCTTGTCCCAAATTTTATTCTACCAAACGTTAATTTAATTGACTGTACTAGCTGAATTGGCTCATAACGAAATATGCAGTGGGCTGAAATGAAAGGAAATGAGAGTTACACATTTTTTCTTTAATTTGATTTTCAAAAATATATAGTAAAGTGTATTATTTACCTTAACAGGCTCTATATAATACACATAATTTATTAGATATGGCAAAAACTCGTAAAAATTAGAACACTTACCTCCACCACCATTCATGGTCTTCAGCAGCAAGTTGAAAGTATGTTAGCGCCACAGTAATGAAAGCAGTGACAATCAGCAGAATAATAAACACAATAAATAAAATGCTGTAGATTGTGTAGATCCTGTGGCCCCAAACACTTGCAAATATATAGTACAGCTCTATATATATGGCACTGAAAGGCAAAAATCCAGCCATGGCCATCTGAGGAAGCGCTCCACGGTACCAAGGTAAAGGAGGGATTTCTCTCGGGTACTTAGTAGTACGGCAAGGGGCTTGGAATTCCGCCTTGCTGTTTTTTCCAGCAATACCTCCTAAGACCAGCAAGGGTGACGTAACAAGAGCCCATATTAAAAAGATTACCACAATGGTACCAAAGGGCAATGCTGCTGTTGCACTGTAAGCAATGGCTACAGTGTTCAGGAAACAGAAAGTTAGAAACAGAGGCCCACAAAACAGCGCCCCAGTTAATAACAGATTCCTGACCTGTTAAGACAGAAGTAATATTAGCTTATCGGAATATTCCTAAATAGAAGTTAAACAATGACATTCCGAAATAGAAGTATTATGTTTTCCCCCTGTCATGCTTGAAAATACTGCCAATTATGGCCTTAATATTGTCATATGAATGACTTGTCACTAATGCCAAAATATGGCAGTATGATTTCAGGATGACATTAGGTTACTCCCATTTAGGTAAAAAATATATTATCCCTATTTTAAAATTTCACATAATTGTACTCCTGTTTCAGGATATTTCCATAGTTTATTTTAGGCAAGAAATACATGGATATGCACTTTCAGGAACCAATATGGCAAGCATAAAATTTAGAAGGTGCACTCAAAAAGCATAAACTATACCCCCTCCGTCCAAAAAAGCCTGGTTTCGTGATTTTTTTGCCCCAAAAAAGGGTTTGGTTTAAAAAGACAAGTTTGGTTTTTA